AAGTAGATACGCCTCCAGCATTCATGTTCGTTTCTGTTGCGCTGCCATAATTTGCTTGTTTTTCTCCCCGATTCGCTTGTGGAACTGGGCTACTTTGTGGTCAGTCTCAGGCGAGATATCTTTTGAAATACCATCAAATCTTTGGAAATCATTCCTCACCTAGAAGCGGTCTGCTGATTGACAGAGGTCTGTGTGTGTTTTCAAATCCAATTCTTCTTCTTGGAGAGATTGACATGTGGTGAAAGTGTAAAATTTCATTCCACGTGATCAACGCCCGCATACAAACCCTAGTTATTGCATGTTTTTCTTTGCAGTGTTTTCTGCCTCCTGTATACTTTCTCTCTTTTGTGTATGTGATATATAGTAACAGACTTTCTTCTTGCTGCCTTCCTGACTGTATGCCATGAAGCCGTCTGAGGGAAGCCGCGTAGCCGGGCTGGGCTAAGCTAGGCTGCGGATAAGGAAAAGAGAGCGTAGAGAACGGCGGGAACTTGTGGCAACAGCAGGGACGCCGGAGCAGTGCAAGGAGGACTCAGCCCCGCCTCCTCCAGCGGCGACTGATGCCACCCGAGGGAGCGGCCGGGGGTGACGTGAAAGAGACAAATGTGTCTGTTTCATATAACTCCTTTTGAATAGCAGCTTTGCCTCAGCTTTTCGGTAAATCTAAGGAGGGGGGAAAGGTTTGTCTCCTCCCGTCATTTCGTGCTGAGCTTGTTCTGCACTTGCTGGGGTTAACATAGGGGAGCGATCCACAGTGCGATGCTCCATGCTCTTTCCCCTGTAGTCCATTCACTAGGTTTCTCCCACCTCATCCCCCCTGCAAGTGTATGTTGGAGCGAGCGACTCAGCATGCTTGGACACTGGGGGGGCACTACATCACTCTAAGCATGTATAGGTGTTATCTCCTTGAATGGGATGCCTCTCTTTGCCTTAACCTGAGAGCTGCTCTCTGACCCCCTCCCTTTGTCCCCTCCCTCTCATCACATGGCCTTCCATGGAGACACATGTCTCTGCAGATCTGTCCTGTAGAGACAGTGCCCTCATACTCCCACACACGTTACGCTGGACAAGCTGGCTATCTGTGATAGGGAAAGGACTCTTTAGATGAGGCTTCTTCATCTTGTTTTGTCTGCAACCTGAATGTGAACTGGATCAACTTGGATAAATATAAGTTTACCATTTTTGCAACATACTTCTTGGGAGATTTATTTACTGCCCTCAGTATCAAGCTTCTGTGAATGGGCAAAAAACTCTGCTGTATTAACCAAACACCCCAGTATTCGGAACTTCACCGTTGGGGTGTCTGTCCGCACCGCCACGGACTCTTCCCTTGTTCACCCTTTCCCAGGAGCATGTTCCATTTAAATCCACCAAAGCAGAAACTCTTGACAGAATAACTGGCTGGATTTCATTATAATCAAATCTCCTTGACCCAAAGCCAGTGTGCCAATACGACAGAATGTGGTTAAAGCCTAGCGAACAATGGACTTCAGTGTTGAATTGGTTGTATTAAGAGTGCACCTGGAAAGGGTGCACCCAACTGTGTTGCCACTGGAGAAAAGAGGGGTGGCCAGTGGGAGGAAGAAGAGGCCCACTCCCTCTCAGCAGGGAGAAGCAGAGGGGGAGCAGGATGCCCCTCCAAGAAAGGCTACCCACACTCGGGCTGCCATGAGTGGGACATCGAGGAGGGCCACCCTCCAAGAGGTCAAAAGATTACACAGAGGGCCCAGGAAGCAGATGACTGCAGTGGTGCTACTCAGGGCTATTTTGGGGCAGGAACGCACAGGAACGGAGTTTCGGCTGGCTTCAGAGTTGGCCATGCCCACTACAGCCAAAACCTCTGCGTGCCTGGCTACAGAGGGAAGGCCTGGAGAGTGACCCCCCTGGTGACTCTGAGGCAGGCGGGCCGGGGGGGGCTGGAAGGATTGGGGAGGCATTTAAATGCTTCCCCGGCCTGTCCAAGGGCTGGCTTTCCTGGGCTCCCCGCAGCTGCGGGGCGCCCAGACAAGCCAAGGGAAGGCATGGGGGTGTGGCCTAATATGCTAATGAGCTGTGCTGTTGGGGTGTGGCCTAATATGCTAATGACTTCCTGCTGGGCTTCTTCTACAAAAAAAGTCCTGGTGCTACTGGACTGTTGCTCTTTTTTAGTGAAGAAGGGAGAAGTGACTCTCGAAAGCTTCTGTCCTGCCACAGATTTTCTTAGTCTTCGAGGTGCTCCTGGACTCTGGCTCTTTTCAGTTTATAAACGTCTGTATGTCCTCCCTTAGTTGTCTCTTTTCTAAACTGAAAACTTCCAGACGCTTCAGCCTTTCCTCATAGGGAAGCCCCTCCCCAAACCCCGCCCTCCTCAGGCCCCACCCCCCAAATCTCCAGGTATTTCCCAACCCGAAACTGGCAGCCGTAATCCCCTGTGCTTCTTGTTCTGCAGCGGAAACACTACAGATTCTACTCTGACCCTCGAAGGAATACGATGGCGTTAAAATAAATCTGTCTTGTACAAACAGCTGATCACGCAAGGATCCCCAAGGGATCAACCACAAGATGTTTTCACCTCCTGGGTATTATTGCTCTGGCGGGGAAGTGAAGTAGAAAATATTCGACAAGGTATGGAAATAGAATGTGGAGGAGGCACTAAGATCAGTGACTCAGAAGTTGAGCTTTCTTTTTGCCTCTCTTCTTGTGGCTGTTATCAGCTGGTGTTCTCCGAATCTGAGCTCTGCTTACCCTCCCGAAGGTGATTTCTGTTCCCCGTTAATCTGCTTCCTTTGTGTGCACTTGCATGTGCTTTATTAAATTGGCATTCAGCAGTTAACGAAGCTATTGTTTTCATGATCTGTTTGATTTTTTGTGTGTCTCATTTTACTTCAGCTATGAGCTGGATTCCACCAAGTGACTCAGTTTCCCTGGTGGCTCTCGGGAAGAGAGATTCGCTTCTGTGTAGGGATGGGCACGAACTGGCTGACAAACTAAAGTTCATCACGAATTTTGGCTGCTTCCTGGTTCGCAAAGCGATGTTTGTGAACTGAAGAACTGCCACGAACTAGCATGAATTTTGATGTAATTTGTGAAGAGAAGAAAGCGGGAAGCTCTCCACCGCTCAGCTGTTTGGTTTAAATGGCTCCGAGTCATTTAAACCCTGCTTTCTGCTCTCCACTAGGATGGCAGGAGCTGGGGCCAGAGACGGGAGCTCACTCCGTCACGTGCCACTAGGGTCTCAAACTGCCAAACTACAGACCTGCTGGTCTGCAGGACAGCGCTGGCTCTTTGGCTTGGAAACAGAGATGAGCACCGCCCCTTAGAGTCAGATTCGACTAGCTCTCGAGCAAGGAAAACCTTTATCTTTACCTTTACCTTTACTTCTACTCCATGTGACTTTTTGCAGGGAGCAGAAAGCAGGCTTTAAACAGCACAGAGTGCTCAGCTTTTTGGAAACCTCTGCTTTCTGCTCCCTGCAAAAAGCCACATGGAGCAGAAGGCAGTGGTTTAAACTTTAAATGGCTCACAAACCAATATGAGCGGGTTCGGTTCACAAACCAGAGTTATCGGTTCATAGTTCGGTTCATAATTCAGCCATGAACCACAAACTGAACTGCAAAAATGCAGTTCGTGCCCGTCCATACTTCTGTCCCATCGAGTTCAGGGCAGCCCATTCATACAAGTCATGATGTAGTCTGGCACTGAGAGGCTGGGGTGAGACGTGTGGGGTTTTTTGAGGCACAATGAGCTAGAGTGCTCCTGAGCACAGTGAAATATGTCATCGTGGCCTACCTGACGATTTTGTTATCTCTGGATCAAGTGTAACCATCAGGATGCATTTCCAGGTGTCACATGAGCTGGATGGCCCCTCGTCGCTGTCGCTGGTCCCCTGCTGCTCCGACCTATAAGCCACCGCGACCTGCCACTTGGGGAGTGGAAGAGGGGAACCACAGAGGCCTCAGACAGTCGGGAGGGGAGGAGGTTACGTCACCACCCTCCGCTCTCCCTCAGCGTATTCAGGCCGCTCCTTCTCTCCCTCCTCCCTTAGTGCCGCCAGTGCCGTTTCATCCTCCTCGGCCTCTGTTCCTGTTCCCCCTTTTATTCCTGCTCCGTGACACCTGCTCTACCCTAAGGTTCGCCCTCCACCCACCACTTCGCCCTCGCCCTCCCTCCTTAGGCTAGGACGCTGAGCTGGGGGCGCGGTCTCCTTCCGTTTCCCTCCCTCCGGCCCCAGCAGCTGCGCTCGCCCTGTGTCTCTCTCCCTCCAGGCAGCTCGGGGCCGAGAGCATTCCCTTCCCCCCCCCGTTCCGGGACACCTCCCTCTGGAGTCGGGCCTCTGTTGCACGTGGCGTTGCCCAGGCGCCTTGGAGGCATCTCGTCGGGTCCTGGGGACGATGTTGTTGGTGCGGCTGTTCGGCTCCGGGCCTCGGGAGGTGTTGCTGAGGTCGGGGGCTGGGGTGGTCAGCGGCTCCCAAGTCCCGAGTAGCAGGGGCCAGCCCTGGGGAGGTTCGCCCTTGGGACACCAGGCAATTGTTGGTTTCTGTCCAAGAGTTGAACAGGGAGAAAGACTGATCTCACACTGATCTATCTAGGGTTGCCAGCTCTGGGTTGGGAGATACCTGGAGATTTTGTGGGTGGAGCCTGGGGAGGGTAGGGGCCTCAGCAGGGTAGAATGCCATAGAGTCCACCCTCCAAAGCAGCCATTTTCTCTGGGATAACTGATCTTGGTCATCTGGAGATCAATTCCAATAGTGGGAGATCTCCAGGTGGTGCATGGAAGTTGGCAACCCTATATCCAGTGCTTTTTAAAAAAAAAAGAGGTGCAAAACAATGAAGTTTTCAGTCTGTATACCGAAAACCCATGAACGTTTAAACATTTTAAAAAGAGTTTTGTCAAAGAGTTTCCAGAATGGCGTTCCGGCGAGTTTCCCCAGGGAAAAAAAAGCCCTGCCTAGATCTACCTCACTTTATTGGTGCATACATCTCAAACGCTGGATGAGAAATAGAGTCCTCAGATACCTCACCTCCTCCTCCTTGGAGCTGGGACGTGACGTTCTGCTCACACTGAACTCTGGCCTCCAGGAGAAGGTAAATCTGATCCTCGGTCGTAACGGTATAATCCAAATCGACCTGGCAAAGAAAAAGCCCAAACTGAAACCGATCTTGTGAAGGATATCTGAGTAGAGATAGATCCAGGTGGGCAGCCGTCTTGGTCTGAAGCAGATCAAATTTAGAGTCCAGCGGCACCTTTAAGACCAACAAAGTTTTATCCAAGGTGTGAGCTTTCACGTGCCTGCACATTTCGTCAGATGATGAAATGGAATGACAGATCATGTTTGCATATATAGGGGTGGCTTGTTAAACTGGCATGCAGGATAGTAAAGATGGCCCCGGTCACATGAGAGGATTTGAGCCGGGAGAGGGACGGATCGGGGGTGGAGAAAACGGGCGCGATCCCACCGCAACATCTGGGAAGTGTTGTGCGCCCGTCCCCGATTCAGCCCTTCCAACGATAACCCGCAGCAAAAAAGAACCAACTACCGAGGTGGTTCTTTCCGAAAGGCCACATCAAAGCCGGCCGTGGGATTGCCGGTGCATTCTTCTGCCGGCGTATTCCCGGCTCCTGGCCGAACTGCGCATGCTCAGACATGCGCAGTTCGGCAGCCTCCCGTGGCTTCCTCCCCGGTCTCCCCGACATCTGATTGTGCCGGGGAGCAATTGCGCGGCGGCTCACGGGATCTGTATGATCCCGCCGCCGCGTGCCTATTTTGGTGCGGCTTTTAAAAGCCGCACTTTGCCCGTCCTTTTTTCCCCTCGTGTGGCAGGGACCAATGTTTATTAACAGATCAAAAGAATGACAAACTTGATTTCTGGTTACCAACTGTTTGTGTTCAGTGGGGGGGGGGGAACAACCAGTGTTTCCTCTAAGCTGAGTCAGTGTGAGCTAGCTCACAGTTTTTTAACTTCCAGCTCACACAATTTGTCCTAGCTCAGGAAAGGGATGGCTCCAGAGCAAACTAATTTATGCAGTAGCCAAATCACCTGCTCACAACTTTAATGCCAGTAGCTCACCAAGTAGAATTTTCGCTCACAAGACTCCACAGTTAAGAGGAAGCATTGGAGCATAGGTAATAAATATATCAGAACGGGAGATTGATGTGCCCCAAATCATTAGAATCCAATCCTTAGACCCCATCAGTCTCCTTTCTAGCATGAAGGCGAACCTTACAGCATCTTGGCTGTGCAGAATAGAGTTCACAATCATAAGCCTGCATTTCACAGCGGCCACACATTCATTTGGGAACAACGCAACTCATTTCTAAGCATCTGAAGCTTTGGCCACGGCGGAGTCTGCCAGGGCTCTCTTTCTACCTCTCGCATAATGAAAACAGTTTTTGCTGGTGCGGCATCACTCTTGGTCTTGAGTAGATGAGACTCGTTCCCTTAATGGATGTTCTGCTTTGGGGCTGCCTTATTTGGTTTAAGGGGGTGCAGAGATTTCTGTTTCCATAGAAGGGTCATTCCAGTTTTAGAAGACAGAAATGAAAAGCTTTGCTTTCCCAGACTTTCATTCACAGGGTTTGCTTTTCTTTATTAGAAGAGGAGGAGGAGGAGGAAAAGGAGGAGGAGGAGGAGGAAGAGGAGGAGGAGAAGATTGGATTTATACCCCGCCCTTCCCTCAGAGTGTCAGAGCAGCTGACAGTCGCTTTCCCTCCCCCTCCCCACAATAGACACCCTGTGAGGTAGGTGGGGCTGAGAGAGCTCTCTCAAGAACTGCCCTTGAGAGAGAAGCTCTGAAAGAACTTGTAACTGACCCAAGGTCACACCAGCAGCTGCATGTGGCGGAGTGGGGACTCAAACCCGGTTCTCCCAGATTAGAGTCTGCGCACTTAACCACTACACCAAACTGGACGCCATAAAGAGGGGAATCCTTCTGTGAGGAAGAGGGTATGTGTGTGTGTGTGTGTGACCTGGAGATCTCCCGCTATTACAATCGACCTCCAGATGACCCAGATCAGTTCCCCTGAAGACAATGGCTGCTTTGGAGGGTGGATTTCATGGCATTACGCCCTGCTGTGGTCTCTCCCCTCCCCAGGCTCCACCCACAAAATCTTCAAACGTTTCCCAACCCAGGGCTAGCAACTCTAGTTGCCAACCTTTTGGTGGGCCCTGGAGAGTCCTGACATCTCTATCACGAGGAGCAAGAAGCAGCCAGGTAAGTTGCAGAGCCCTCCCCCCGCCTGCCTTCAGGTAGAAGCTCTCCCTCCTCTGCAAGGACAGATCTGCACGTTCTCTCCCCCCCCCCAGTAGCTAGCAACCCCAAACAGTCCAGTGGCGCTTGCGCGGTGGGTGCTGCCTTCTGACGCACTTCCGGTGATGTCAGGGGGTCTGGCATATGCAAATGGATTATGCTAATGAGCTCCTGCACTGCTTTTCCTACGAAATGACCCCTGTGCAATACCATAGAGTTCTCTTTCCAGAGCAGCCAATTTCTCCAGGGGAACTGATCCCTGTTGCCTGGCTATCAATTGTGATAGCGGGAGATCTCCAGCCACTGCCTGGAGGCTGGCAACCCTACCCTCATGCCAGAGCTCACTCTCCACAAGACAGAGCCTTCACAGGACCTCGTGCACAATCTCTCTAGGCGCGGGGGAGGGGGCAGCTGCCAGGCTTATCAGTCAAACGGTAGAATCCGAAGAGGCCGAGCAATGAGACCGGAAGCATCGGACACACGTGGGTCGAACCCGGCTTGGTCACCCTCCGGCTGCTGACTTTAATGGGCTGGGATTATTATTTCCCTTCCTTATATTTACGTGGCTGAAATAGCCGCCGTCTCTGCTGGGGCCTATATTGCAAACAAGCCTTTTTGAAATGCTTCAGAAGATATGGAATGGAGCCAGTTATCCCTGCAGCGCTGTAGAACATCTCGGAAACAGTGAGAACGTACCCCGTGGTTGACCTGCCTCTTTTGTGGCCCCCCAGCTGCTAGTTGGCGGGAACAAAGAACGGGGCAGTTCTCTCCCAGACGCCGCGGCCTTTCCCTGACCCCGAGGCTGGGGAAATCGATCTGAAGCCACGGCAGGGCGAGGTGGGGAAGGCTCTGCCGCCGGTATGCAATTCCATTCCCAAAGCAATCAGTGGCGAGGGCCAAGAGCCAAACCCTTTTGTTTACGTGCACAAAAATCAGCCTAGGATTTGAAGCTCAGCTGCCAGGAGAGAGCTGCGTCTTGTAATTAACAGGACAAAAAAAAAAGCGGATTAAAACCTTTCTGTAAAAATAGTAAAAACACCTGCATTCAGCACTCTCCTTGATGAAACTCTTGACATCGGAATGATTAATGTGGGATCAACGGCTTTGATTTCATTCTCACAGTCATTAACTGAGATTAGAGACTCAGTTTGGCTCATCAAGAATCCTGTGAAAGTGTGGAGAAACCCTACATCTCTTTCTCTCTTATCCGTCCATCTATCCGTCCATCTATCCGTCCATCTATCCGTCCATCTATCCGTCCATCTATCCATCTATCATCATCATCTTCATCATTATCGATCCTTCTGTGAGCCAGTTTGGTGTAGTGGTTAAGTGCACAGACTCTAATCTGGGAGAACCTGGTTTGATTCCCCACTCCTCCACTTGCACCTGGCTGGATGACCTTGGGCAAGCCATAGTTCTCTCAGAGCTGTTCTCTCAAGGGCAGTTCTCAAGAGAGCTCAGACTGTGCCACACCTACCTCACATGGTGTCTGTCCTAGGGAGAGGAAGGGAAAAGAGTTTGTAAGCCACTCTGAGACTCCGAGTGAAGGGCAGGGCATAAATCCAATCTCCTCCTCCTCCTTCTCTATCATCTACCTACCTATTATCTATCTATCTGTCTGTCATCTGTCTGTCTTCTTATTTATTTATTTATTTATCCTTCGGCTTGATATACCGCCCTAATCCCCGTAGGGGTCTCTGGGCGGTTTACAACTCTTGGGTGCTAATCACCTATCTCAATCCTAACTATGGCCACACATTGGTACAAGGGGGGGGGGAGTTCCCTACCAGCACCCTGGTGAAGGCTTTTTTCCCGGCTCGGCTTCTTCTGGCGATATACGATGTCCGGTGCTCGGCAGACAGGCAGGTGTGTGTGTGGATCGCCGGCGACGTTGTCCTCGGCCCGATCATGTCCTTTCCGGCTCCGTGCGCCTCCGGATGACGTCGCTGCGACTCCAGCCTCCGTTGACGGCATCCGCCTTGTTCTTTCGCTGCTGGCCACCAGGGATCAGTCTGGCTCTGCTGCCGCCGCTTGCCGCCTCTCAGTGTTGCGCCTCCTCCTCCAATCGCCGCCGCCGCTGCTCCACTGCTGCCGTTGTTCTCGCCGTCGCCGTCACCGCCATTTTCGCCAACGCCGCTGCCTCTCCACACACCTCCATGGGCGGAGGAGGGTGCCCCCCACCCTACTAAGGGTGGGTACCCATTTATATACTCGCCGATAGATGGTTACTTGGCTTTCGAACCGCTGGGTGGGCGGGAGCTAGGACTAAGGGTCGAGAGCTCACCTCGACCACGGTGGGACTCGAACAGGTGCTCGAGTAGATGTTAATGCAGGCGTTATACTGCCTGCGCCACCGCTCCCTGATTCTATCATCTGTCTATCATCTACCATCTATCTTCTACCTACCTATCATCTCTCTCTCCCCCCCCCCTTCCTGGGAGAGTTGCCCTCTCTGTATTGGGAAATACCTGAAGATTTTTGGGGGGTTGTGCGGAGCCTGAGGAGGGTGGGGTTTGAGGAGGGGGGGACCTCGGCAGAGCACGGTGCCATGCAGTCTCCAAAGCAGCCATTTTCTCCAGGGGAACTGCTCTTTACATTGTCTGGAGATCCGATGTGATGGTGGGTGCTCTCCAGGTGCCACCTGGAGGTTGGCAGCCCTCCCTCCCACACCAGGAGGCTTCCATTCTCAATGCACAAGTCTGTTGAGCCAAGTCCACTGCAGCAGGGCTGGCATCAGCACGCCCAAAAGCGGGGCAGCAGCCAGGGCCCATGGATTCCAGCGGGACCCGCTAGGGCTAACTCCTGCCCTTGCTCACGCGTCTCCTCGGATGCTCCCACCATCGCCTACTTGGGAGTGCTTTGTCACTAGGGCTTC